GGCATGGAGCCGGAATGAGGGCGCTGGGCACCCACTGGCATTAGTGCAGTCTGTGATTGGCTGTGGATGCCAGCCCCCTCTCCTGGGATGACAGTCATTAGCACCTTTCAGCCTAACCGTGCTGTGCACTCTGAGTGACGTGGCAGAATCAGGCCCAGTGTGGAAATACAGATTGACAGCTCCCCTCCCAGCCATCTCGCCCAGGCACTGGCTGCAACGCAGACCCCCGGCCCTTAGACTGCCCCTTGGCAGAGACCCCAGCATCTCGCCCTGCTCCTCCACGCACACACCAGCCACCCACTGCCCTGTATCCGCCACTGCAGGGAGGAGAGCATGGGAGGTGCGAGGCCTCCAGCCTCATGGGCTCCCCTTCCTGTCCCTGCTCTCTCGGTCACCCCCGCTGCTGTCTGCATGATCCCCCATGGCCCCAGAGACACCCCAGCCGTGGGGAGGTCACAGGCAGACGCGGGGGCGGTGGGGGGTGTTTCCTGTCCCTCTAACCAGCCATCCCATGTCTGTTTGCCTTGCAGCTGCCCCTGGTGACCGTGCAGGTCAGTCTGTGCCTCTCCAGCCTCCTCCTCTTCCTGTCTGGCTCATCCGAGGGCCCCCGGGGGTGTTCAGTCGCGGGGATCCCAGAGGAGTCTGGGCTGTGACCACAATGTCCAGCAATCCAGGCCTAGACCCCTCTGCCCTGCTGTGGGGGTGCAAAGGGTCCCAGAGCACAGGGCATTTCTGGGCTGGGCCACATGGGGGGCAGGGAGGGGACATTTGTGCCATCGGGTTACGTCCTCCCCACCCCGAGTTTGCAGAGTCTGGGGCTGTCTGTCCGGGAGACAGGTGGGTTTGGGCCTGGCTGGGATCCCTGCCTGAGTCACTCACCCCGAATGTTCCCAGCCCCCAAACTCTGGGTCAGGCAGTGACTTGATCAGGCCAGTGGGGAACTCAGCAGGGAGCTCCCTTGGGAGCCTGAATGGGGGAAGGGCAGGGGAGGAGGGAGGGTCTCTGGGAGCTGCAGGGGCAGAGGGGAGGGGTGGAGGTTTGGGGAGGCTGCGTGGCGGGACGGGAACAGGAAACATACCCACAGAGGCCTAGCACTGAGATGGAAACGGTCCCTACGGCGAGTTCCCTGGGCTTTGTCCAGGCTGGAGATGGGGTGTCCCTCGGGAGCCTGTTCCCCCCAGAGGCGGTGCCTTTGGGTCAGGGCTGAGGGGCACTGGCAGGGGCCCCTTACCCAGCGGCTGCTCGGCGGTGCCTGCTCCAGGCTACGGAGAAGGATTTGAGCCCCCGGGCATCGATTCAGCCCCCGTCAGCAGCACGAGGCACTCGGGGGCTGCCAGGGACGAGTCGTGTGTGGGGGCAGCAGCTGAGCAGGGCGTGTCCGTTTGCCAGGATCCCAACGGGAACCGCATCGCCCAGTGGCGAGATGTGACTCCGCAGCAGGGCATCGTGGATCTGTCCCTCCCACTGTCTGCAGAGCCGGCCCTGGGGACGTACGCCATCGAGGCGCAGGGGACGAGGCACTCGTTCAGCGTGGAGGAATACGGT